GCCAAATAAGATAACGTAAAATATTTTCATAAATCAAGGAAAATGGTAAACAAGCAAGACAGGCAGTACTTATAACTGGCTCATTTGTGACTTAGTACAAATGTAGCCATCTATGTGTAAAAACAATTAATAAAGTAAACTCACAGTGGGCATGGCATATACGCACATGCCATGCCTGGCGACATTGGGTTAACAAATGCAGAATCAGTGTTTTGTAGGTTCTTACTTTAGCTTTAGTATTCTGTTCATTCCTTAACCCATTCGCGACGGGTAAAAATGAACCAAAAAACTGTGCTCATTTTTTATATTTTTTTGAGAAATGTTTCTACACTAGATGGCTCTGCCTTACCTGATTTCACCTTTACTTGAATTGGCGGGAAAATGTATTTTTACCAGTGCTATGAATATCAATGGTTATTTTTATTATAAACATTATAATTACTATAATGTTATAAACATTAACAGCAAAATAAGATAACATAAATATTTTCCTAAATTAAAGAAAAGGGTAAACAGGCGAGACAGGCAGTACAAGTACAAGTGTAGCCATCTATGTATAAAAACAATTAAACAAGTAAACTCACAGTGGGCATGTCATGTATATGTGACACCCGGTGTGAATGGGTTAACATTTCTATGCATTTGTTATTATTTTACATTTACTTGAGAAATGTTCCATATTATTTGTTTATTGTCTAATCCATGTGTTGAAATTGCTTTCTTAGTATATTTGAGTAGCCTTCATAAACAGCAATTTATTTTGATGTTGGGTTTGAAATAACTAATTACTAATTCTGGAGGTTCTGCTCTGCCAGCCATTAGCATAGCTAACTACCAGCCAATAATTACTCTAGATTTTCAGCCAATAATTGCTTTAGATAGAAATTATGTTGAAGTCAATCATATGGATTGAATTACATCAATTGCATTTGGTCACATTTTCAAGTTCTAACTGTTGTAAATGAAAAAAAAAAAAAAAAATCCAATTTATGCCTTACATATATACAAGATGAAATATAGAGCTCAGAATTGTTAAGTCTTTCAAATTGGATATTTGTAATTAATATATAACATTTTTTCTTCAATTTCCCAGGATGAAGAGCAGCAGCAGTTGGAAGAGCCAGCATCCCAACAGTATAAACAGCAAGTGGATGTAACCATTGTTAAGGTCATGAAGACAAAACAAGTTATCAACAAAGATCTCTTAGTCTCAGCAGTACAGAGCCAGCTGAAGCATCCTGCTGAGGTATTTTCTTCATAATTTCTTCTTTGTATTTGAATATTGTTATTATTATTATTATTATTTGTGTTGTTATTGTTATTGATTTGGTATTCTTTTTGTTTTATCATCATTATCAAAATTATTATTATCATTATTATTCTAAATATGTTTATTATCATTATTATTGTTGTTATGATTATTATTATTATTATTAAAAGCAGAAGCTAAATGGCAAATCCTAACAGAGAAAGTAAAGTAGCATAGAAAGCAGCTCCTGTTAATAATCAAAATTGAGAATAAAATAAAAAACTTAAGAAAATTACAGAAAGACTAGAGTAATCTCAAAAGTAAAATAGATTCATTTCCCTCTATCACTCTTTTGAAAATAATTTCTACTGTAGGACTAGAAAAGTTACTATAAATTGTAACTGGAGTGAAGATTCTTGAAAAAATGAAAATTATCAAGTCTCACAAAAAAGGAATGATGTATTTAAATAGACATTAGTAGGGTAATATCATTAACCCATTCCTGATGGGCATGGCATGTACGTACATGCCATGCCCACTGTGATTTCATTTGTTTAATTGTTTTTTCACATGGATGACTACACTTGTACTAAGTCACCAGTGAGCCAGTTATTAGTACTGCCTGGCTCACCCATTCACCGTTTTCATTGATTCTTGAAAATATTTTACGTCATCTTATTTTGCTGTTACTAATGTTTATAACATTATAGTAATTATAAAGTTTATAATAAAAATAACACCATCAATATTCATAGCACTAGTTAAAAAATACATTTTTCCCGCCAATTCAAGGAAAGTTGAAATCAGGTAAGGTCACAAGATCTACTAATCGATTCATTTGTGGCTAAGCACTAGCTAAGCAGCACCATCTATGTAGAGACATTTCACAAAAATATAAAAAATGAGCACAGCATTTTCCCCTTTTTTTTTTCATTTTCCTCGGCAGCAATGGGTTAAATTATAAATTTAAGTATTGGATTTTTAGTAGTATCAGATTGCTTATTATTAGGTGCCTCTTGACAAATAACAAAATTTCTTCCAATTTTACAGTTTGTAGCCTGTCCTTCAAACAAACTTATTTTATTGGATACCCTATAAACTGAACTACCTTAATTTATCAATCCATTGGCAGTGGGTGCATGTATTGTCTGTTCTAGTTTTTGTGTAGTCAATTTTGGCTACACATAGATAGCTTTATAAATACTGTTTCAGTTACTTGACCTCAGTTGTTTTCCCTGTATCTTGAATTTA